ATTTTCTGTTATATCACCAACGTTTTTAATAAAAAAAAATCTCTTTAATCAACTAAAACTTTATTAAGAAATCAACAAATATTTTTTCCAATTTTTTTATCTATACATTACATTTTATATTTTCAGTACATAGATTAATAACAATATTAGGTTATACTTTCGTTGCTAAGCAACATGACATAAAAACCGTTGTTGGATCGTAGTGTTACCAAAACGCACTGGCTTTTCTATATATTAGAAGTTGTTAATCTAACTGATTTTCACCAATAATTATTTTATGAATATGACTCGAATTAATTTCATGAATGATCTTAATTTTGATTGGTCACAAAGGAATTTACCAATGTTCGACTTACTCGACTGAATTTTTCTGCCTCTTTGCTGGTCAAGCTTGATTTTGCAAAATTTATATACTTTAGTTAGCTATGAAATGTGAGGCTAGAGTATACTATAGGGTAGGGGGGGTGGTAGTACTTGCCCCGTCATTTTTGACAGGCTATACACTAGATAAATATTGTTAGCTTCATGAAAGGAGGTGGGTTTTAGGAACTAGATACACGCTTAGAAAGAGCAGTGGGGTGATAGGTATAAACAAGCAAATAGAAAAGATAGGAGGTTCTTATTTTATATTCTAGCTTGTTAATATGGGTAATTTGAGTTCCTAATTCGTAAGAAACTACAGACTTTGTATTTGGACATCACAAATATTTAATTTGAACCAGTGCTTCATTCAGTATACCACGTGACGACCAAAAATTGATATTTAGGTGTGCTCTTATAATATTTACTTTTAAATTAAGAAATTAACTAATGTAAAACACTAAAATTTGAATTATAATCTTCAGCTTGATACCAAACTTATTGACATAAATTCATAAAATAGTAATTCAATAAAATTCTGAATGTAAGTCAACAAACGAGATCACATAGCCTTTGACCCGTGACGATAGGGTTAATAAACATCTTCAGTGGTACTAAACTTAACGAATGAGGAAAAAATGCAAACTGAAAACTAAGTACACGGCGTGTATCCCCATTTCCACCACTGGTTAGTTTGTTACGATGCCAATTGAGAAATATTTCAATTGTTAGTGTACATACAGAAAAAATAACGCTTATAAAATTTCTGTACATACAGAAAAAATAACACTTATAACTTTATTTGTTTGGAATTAAGCACAAAGCTGCACAATGAGCTATCTGTGCTCTGCCCACCACGGGTATCGAAACCCGGATTTTAGCGCTATAAGTCCACAGACATTCCGCTGTGCCCCTGGGGCTTATAAATTTGCTAGCTATCACTATCAATTAAGAGTACGAACTGCAAATAGCAATGAACTAAAGTTCTGACCCATAACACGACTGTGTAACCAACGCTAAAACATATTGTTGACGACTGTCTCTATTGGTATCAGGTGAGTGACTATTCTGCTGGGTACATTTCTTTTTATAAATGGTGTTCTCGTGCTTATCACAAAAGGTGAACATTTCAAAACAAGCCCCTCGTACGAGCTACACTTCGACTTGAGAAGGCAAAAAGAACGTCTCTCTTGAGTTATATAGGTTATGCTGTGGGCAGTCTGTTCCGACATACTTTTAGAGATATGACGTCACCAATCTACTTTCATTAACCCAGAGCAGTGAATTGTCAAGAAGACAAAATGTAAACATGTCGAAATCAGCTCACTAATAAAATACTAGAAGCCCTGAACTACCTTCCACATGCACGAATTTTGAAAAGAAAAATTTAATTATTTGGTCGGTTGTTTTACAGGATTTTTTTTTTTATAAAGCAACAATAAATTCCCAGATTGTTGTATTAAAATTTTTCAAATACACAGACTCTCGAAACCACAGTTGGTTTCAGCTGGTTTCAGGAACAAAATGTAAACTGCAGAATTATCCACACTTGGACAAAACTAGCCATTAAACACAATATTCCTGTCAACGTCAATTTCTCACAAAAACCCGGCCCTAAATCAAAATCGTTACTAAACAAAAATTATTTAGAATCACACAATACCAACGTCATTTACAAACTAACATGCAATAACTGCCCAGAATTGTACATCAGATAAACAGGAAG